CTGTGGTCGGTAGCAAAGAACTCAGCACTCCTAAAAACTCTACAGTTCTGAAGGATCCTCCAGCGAGTATCCACGAGAATATGGTCGATCTCTTTAGCTACAACGCCAGTATTGGAGTACCAAGTCCAGCGGTGTAGATCTCGTCTCTGGTACCACGAGCCCGCAATCCTCAGCCTCCTAGATCTTGTGAAGTCTAAGAGGTATGAGCTATTGATGTTCCTAGTACCAGAGCCATAGGGACCGATGCATAGCTCGTATCCTTCCCTGTCAGTGCCAGTGACTGCATTGAAGTTCCCCAAGACCATGAGGGTGTCCCCCCGGGGACATTGATCCGCTATAGAGTCAAGTTTGGCGTCGAACATCTCTTTCTCTTCAAGCCCACTTCCCTCAGTAGGAGCGTAAACTGCAATTAGAGATATGAAGCCCAAAGTGTGCTTCATTCTCACAAGCAGAATACGCTCGTCAACAGGGGTAACCTTCTTGACTGAGGAACGAAAGCGGTCAGAGACAGCCACCGCGACTCCCCTAAGGCGCGCACCATTGCTACAGCCAGACCAGTAGTAGGTATAACCCCCACTACTGGTCTCACCACTACCAGGCCGTCGCACCTCAGAGAGAGCAGCGATGGCAATCCCCAGCCTCCCCAGCTCCCCCGACAACAAAGGCAGTCGATCATCCTCCGAGAGACTGAGGATGTTCCAGGCCGCTGCACGGCACGCTCGCCGCAGATTGACCCCATTTGTGGCCCTCCGGCCGGGCGACGCCTCGGCACAACCAGGCATGCCTCCCAAGGAGGAAGAGTGGGGGCCGGGGGGGCCATCCCCCCCACCACGTAACCTCAGGGTGCAGGATTCCCTGGGAGGGCTTTGCCCTACACCCGTCATAACAGGCTCGTCGTCCTGATCAGGTAAGCCCCTGGTCAGGACGCCGAGCCAGGGATCAGGAACCCCCGGCCGCAAATCGGGGTTAGGGTTAGGTTACTTGGTTTGCCTGCTGGTAAGGGTTTTTACGGGACCGGGTTGCCAGCCCGACCCCAACTGCTAGCTAGGGGCAGGGACGCAGAACTCCCTGGGGACAGATTGCCCCTGATACCCCCATATATATGTATATATATATATATATATATATATATATATATATATATATATATATATATATATATATATATATGCAAGCACACACACACACACACACATATATATATATACATATATATATATATATATATATATATATATATATATATATATATATGTACATATATATGTGTAGTGTGTGTGTGTCTGTGTGTGTGTGTGTGTGTGTATGTGTGTGTGTATGGGTATGTGTATGTATGCATGTTTGTATATATATACATCTATCTTTTTCTTTATATGTATATCTATATAATGAAAGTTATTGAGAAAGGGATGGATGAGATTAAAAATTCTTCAAGACATTATCGACAAGAGCTGCTGACGTTTCGACAAACTCACACTTACTGGAGGGTCTATAATCAGATCTTATTAATCACTGATTTCTCAGTCTTAAAAAAAAAAAATCGATTTCTCATTCTTGAAAAAAAACACATTTATATTATACACCTTTCATGATTTCGCCTATCTTTTACAGATACTCTTTCGGTCTTCATCTAAGTGTCCTCTCTTGTCTATCTGTCTATCTCCTTTTCTTCTTCTGCCTTTGTCCTATCTGGCTCTGTTGATTTATGTGTCTCTGTCTGTCTGTCTGGCGCACCATCTCCCTCTCCCTCCCCTCTCTCTTTCTTTCCTTCTATTCTCTCTCTCTCTCTCTCTCTCCCTCTACTTTTCCCTCTCCTTCTATCTCTGTCTGTCTGCCTGTCTATCTGTGTCTCTGTTTGCAATACTGTCAGGCACTGATTGGTACATTCGCGTGTCCGACCCGATCACTTGACTCATAGCGGCTTATAATGGATATGCTGCATTAAACTAGCTAAGTATTATTACCTTTGA